TCTTCCGCTCCTTGGGAGCCACTACTTGCTTGGCTACGTCGACGACACTTTTCCTTGCCCTCTTGCGCTGGTGGACAGCGTGAACGGCCCGGTTTACAACCCGGCACACCGTGTCTGGACGGGGCAGGACCAGGCGAACCTCTCCTCCATCCAGGGTTCGCTCACTCCGGCGGTTGCTGGACTCGTCGTCTTCGCGAAGACCTCCCATGAGGCTTGGACCATCCTGGAGCGCTCCTTTGCGTCCCAGCCGCAAGCCCGGATCAGTGCTCTCCGTCGCGAGCTTGGTGCCTGTGAGAAGCTTGATTCCACGGCAACGGAGTTCTACAACAAGGTCAAGGCTCTTGCTGACACATTGGCATCCATTGGACAGCCGCTTAATGATTCTGAGTTCAACTCCTTCATTGTCAACGGCCTCGACGAAGAGTATGATGGCTTAGTTGAGATCGTCAATGAGCGCGGCAACACGACCCCCATGATGGCGCATGAGCTCTACTCTCGGCTTCTTCTTACTGAGCAGCGCGCTGAGGCGCGCCGTGCCAACCGCAGTCGAGGCTCCTCCTCCGCCAACGCGGCCTACCGAGGTGGTCGCCCCTCCGGTGGCGCCCCGTCCTCCGCCTCGGGCAAGGGGCCCGCGCCGCTTCCTCCGGCCTCGTCCACCCCCACTCTGACGCTACCAGGTGATGGGGGTCGGCGGGTCTGTCAGCTCTGTGGTCTTGACGGACATTGGGCCTCCAAGTGTCATTGTCGTTTTCAGAGGAGTTTCCTTGGTCTCGGCAATGACGGCAAGGATATGCGCAACACTGCGCGTCAGGTGGCTATGGCTGATAGCCCGGCACCGCAGAAGCCTCAGGGCCATACTCAGTCCTACTCCCTTGATCTGCACTGGTACATGGACTCTGGTGCGACGGAGCATTTGACGAATGAGATGGGGAAGCTTCATCCTCGCGAGCCCTATCATGGTTCCGATAAGATCCACACCGCCAACGGAGCAGGTATGCACATCTCCCATATTGGTCAAGCATCTCTTCTCACTAGTCATGCCACTAGGAGGCTTCAGCTTCGTGATGTTCTTAGAGTACCATCTGTGACGCGTAATCTCCTTTCCGTTCCTAAACTCACTTATGACAATAATGTGTTTTGTGAATTTCACCCGTTTGATCTTTTTATTAAGGATCGGGACATGAGGGCCGTTCTGCTTAGTGGGCGTCTCTACCAGGGCCTTTACCGTCTGGAGCATCCTGGAGTCTCTTGGGTTTTTAGTGGAGTTCGCGTCTCGTCGTCACAGTGGCATGCTCGTCTCGGTCATCCTGCCATACCTATCGTTCGTCATGTTTTGCGTCGTCATGAGCTTCCTAGTGTCTCTAGCAATAATGATGTAGTAGTGTGTGATGCTTGTCAGCAGGGGAAGAGTCATCAACTTCCTTTTTCGGAGTCTAGCCGTGAGGTGAAACATCCTTTAGAACTTGTTTTTTCGGATGTATGGGGCCCTGCCCAAACTTCTGTCAGTGGTCATAACTATTATATTAGTTTTGTGGATGCTTACAGTCGTTTTACTTGGCTCTATCTTATTAAGCGTAAATCTGATGCGTTTGATATTGTCGTTCAGTTTCAAAAACATGTTGAACGTCTTCTCAAGCATAAAATTGTTCATGTTCAGTCGGACTGGGGTGGCGAGTATCGCAACCTCAACCCCTTCTTCCAGTCGCTTGGGATCGCTCATCGTTTAGCATGTCCACATACTCATCAGCAGAATGGTTCCATCGAGCGTAAGCATCGTCATATTGTTGAGACTGGTCTCACTCTTTTGGCCCATGCATCGGTTCCTTTCCGGTTTTGGAGTGATGCTTTTACCACCGCTTGTTTTCTTATCAACCGTACTCCCACACGTGTTCTCAACATGAAGACTCCCCTTGAACTTCTCCTTAATGAACAACCCGACTATACTTTGTTTAAAGTTTTTGGGTGTGCTTGCTGGCCGCACCTTCGCCCTTATAATAAACGCAAGCTGGAATTTCGGTCCAAAAAGTGTGTCTTTCTTGGCTATAGTTCCCTTCATAAAGGTTACAAATGTCTTCATGTTCCCACTAATCGTGTTTACATCTCTCGGGATGTGGTGTTTGATGAGCATGTCTTTCCGTTTGCCAATCTACCTGTGTCCACAGATGCTCCTCCATCCATGCATTCATCCTCTCTTGCCTCTGACCAATTTGATGATGTTGCATACTCTCCTGTGTTATTGCCTAACCATGGTGCAGGAACCGGACGTGGGGCTCGTTTGGAGCTTTTGGAGGACTCCCCATCATCATCGCCGCCGCCCTCTGCTGTGCACATCGATCACGCAGCGACGTTGCATGGCCTCGATTCGTGTGCCCATGCACGCGCGGTGGATGCATCTGAGGCCTCGGCCTCATCTTTTGATCGGCCTCGGGCGCCTGCGTCTTCCGCGGCTCGGCCCGCCACGCCGGCCTCGCCCGTGTCTCCAGCGGATCGGCCCGCCACGCCGGCCTCGCCCGTGTCTCCAGCGGATCAGCCCGCTCCGCCGGCCTCGCCTGCAGCTCGGCCCACTACGCCGGACTCGCCCATGGCTCGGTCTGCTCCACCGGCCTCGCCTGTGCCTCTGCTGGGTAGTCCACTGGCGGGTTCTGGATCCACTGAGCCGGTTGTCACGACGGAGGACCTTGTTCCATCGTCGTCCTCTTCGTCGCCCAGCCCTTCGCCGGCTGCTTCTTCGACCTTGACGGCTCCTGTGTTACGTCCACATACACGCAGTCGCAGTGGCATTGTTCGACCAAAGGAGCGTACGGATGGTACTGTTGCTTGGTTGGCAGCATGTCTGGCTGCCGCTGTTGCGGATACGTCTTCTGAGCCCCGCTCGTATCAGGCCGCCATGCGTGTTCCTCATTGGCGAGAGGCTATGGAGGAGGAGTATCATGCTCTTCTTCGCAACGAGACATGGACTCTTGTTCCTCCCCCACCACGGGTTAATGTTATTGACTGCAAGTGGGTGTTCAAAGTTAAGAAGCATTCGGATGGATCTATTGAGCGTTATAAAGCGCGCCTTGTCGCCAGAGGATTTCGGCAGCGCTATGGTCTTGATTACGAGGACACCTTCAGTCCCGTTGTCAAGCCTACCACCATTCGGCTTCTTCTTTCTCTTGCTGTCACTCGCGGTTGGTCTCTTCGTCAACTTGATGTGCAGAATGCCTTTCTTCATGGGTTCTTGGAGGAAGAGGTTTATATGCGACAGCCGCCTGGTTTCTCTGATCCTGATCGTCCTGATGACATCTGCCGTCTCACCAAAGCGCTCTATGGCCTGAAGCAAGCTCCTCGTGCCTGGCATGCTCGTCTTGCCTCCGCTCTTCGTGCTCATGGGTTTGTGTCGTCCAATGCTGACTCCTCATTATTTCTTCTACAGAAGCCAGAGGTCACTATGTATCTTTTGGTCTATGTGGATGATATTATTCTTGTCAGTTCCTCTCGGTATGCTGCTGATGCTCTTGTTCGCTCTCTTGGTGCTGCTTTTGCTGTCAAAGATCTTGGGAAGCTTCACTACTTTCTTGGGGTTGAGGTTACCTCTCGTGCTGATGGTCTTGTTATGACACAAAAGAAGTACTCATTGGATTTATTGCAGCGAGCTGGGATGCTTAAGTGCAAACCGACTACCACACCCATGTCATCTACCGAGAAGCTCACTGCTGTTGATGGTGCGCTTCTGTCTTCTGCAGATGCTACAGAGTACAGGAGTATTGTTGGTGGGCTTCAGTACTTGACGATTACGCGGCCAGATATTTCTTATGCTGTCAACAGGGTTTGTCAATATCTTCAGGCTCCCCGTGACACTCATTGGGCGGCTGTTAAGCGCATCCTGCGTTATGTCCAATTCACAGTGTCTTTTGGGATGCATATTCGGCCATCTTCCTCTCGGGTTCTTTCGGCCTACTCTGATGCGGACTGGGCTGGCAGCCCGGATGACAGGCGATCCACGGGGGGCTATGCTGTGTTCTTTGGCTCTAACTTGATCGCTTGGAGTGCTCGGAAACAGGCTACTGTATCACGTAGTAGTACTGAAGCTGAGTATAAAGCTGTGGCTAATGCTACTGCATAGATTATTTGGGTGCAGTCTTTGCTTCAGGAATTGGGTATGTCTCAACCGCAGCCTCCTATCCTTTGGTGTGATAACATCGGTGCTACATACCTTTCTGCTAATCCGGTATTTCATGCCCGAACGAAACACATTGAAGTGGACTATCACTTTGTACGGGAACGTGTGTCATAGAAGCAACTCCAGATCAAGTTCATCTCTTCAAAAGATCAACTTGCAGACATCTTCACTAAGCCTTTGCCTTTACCACAGTTCGAGGCTTGTAGGTGCAATCTTACCCTTCTCAGTTTTTTAGAAAGTGGCTAAGATTGAGGAAGGGTGTTAGACTATGTATAGCTTCTGTATTTGTGTACGTATATTTGTACCTATTGTAAACACACCCATTATATATATGAGATAAGCCACCCCTAGAGGGTTGAGCTGGTTCCCCCCAAGTCATTGTCTTACAATATATGTTCTCGCCATCATGGTTTTCTTACAGCAAAAAATTATCGGGCTCCCCCCATCCTTATTTTGCATTACCGGCTTAGCAGATACTGCTACAGTTGCTCTTATATCTATGCACCCAAAAACGAAGGTGTCCATACACGCCACTTATAATAACCATGCATATCTACTCAATCGCTAATCGAAATTTCTGGAAAATGCTATGAAGACATTGACATTTGCTTTGTTATTGCTCATAGCCATAGGCTAGAGTTTATTTGGAGGTGTGCCAATGTTCAACCAAAGTAGTTTGATGTTTAACAGTACACAGATTGTGCACTTCAAAACAATTACAAATAAATGAGGCCATCCAGGCATCCAGTGGCATTATTTAGAAGTTCACTCCACTTTATTCTGCCCTGGGCCGGTTGGCGCCAACGCAGATTCTCCTTCAAAACAATCACAAGAAGGATTAATCAAAGTTGTCAATTTTGATTGGAGTGATGACATCTGCCACCTTGAAGTGCCCAACTAATCTTGCGAAGAACATCATCGCCTGCTCCAAGGTAAACTTGATGTTCTCGGCCTGATTCAAGAAATGCATGTAAGCTATGAGCTATCATTTGTAATTTGAGATTATTCCTACTGGGCTTTTCAATGGCAAAAGTATTCATCATTTATGCTCAAACAAATAAAAATCAACTTGGTTGAGTACATCGGTGTTGACTATTCAGGTATGTGGTACACCGAAGGTGCCTGGTATAGAAAGTTCAAAGGAAAGGTGCCTTGTATAACGAGAGATACATCTAAGAAAATAATTGTTAACCTTGCGAAAAACATGTGGTTCCCCTTCATACTCAACCAAAGCAACAGGTAGACCTTTGTCCTTTATAGCCTTGTATATTGTTCTTGCCTGATCTGGTGGCACAACCTGAAGATCATCAAAGTGTAAGCTGGCAAGATATCAGAAGGAAAAAGAGAGTGGCCTAGCAATTCAAAGGATAAGAATGTAGAGAACAAACACAGTACCACATTGCATGTTTTATAACAAGCGCATACTCTGATCCAAACATACAGCCATGTATCTTAAATTAGTGTTAATCATGTAGGAGTACTCATGAGTGATGACAGCTAACAATTCAAAATTCAAAGTTTTACCGTGTCTTCCAATCCTTGAAACAAAATGACCGGACAGGTAAATCTTTCAGCGAAATTTATTGGTGATCTCTCAAAGTAAGCCTGTTCATTGCCTGGAATATTGGAGGTACAGTGATGTTATTTATCCAATCACGGGACGGATTTGAACACCCATATCCCAGTAAGATGAGTACAAAGTTCCTTACCCACAAGGTTGTCAATATAGTACGCATCACCCTTGCGTGCGAATGCCCTTAGTGAAGCTAAGTCAGCAATCTGCTTATGAGATGTATAAGTTTCTAGATTGTAATAAGCTGCAGGCAAAATAGAGAATATATGGAATTTTGAAACTTGCCCCGTATAAAGAAGCACCAGCCTTGAATATCTGTCTGAAAGCAAGGCAAGCTAAAGTTGTGAATCCACCAGCACATTCTCCTGTTATACAAAGACGTTGCCCATCCACTCTTCCAGTTTCCACCTTAACAATAAGCATTATAAACCATATTCATTCATCATTTCTCATTATATGCACCTAATAGGGGGATTACAGCCTCTACATCGAATTGTGAAAAGCTTCAGTCAGTCTGAATAAGCCATACCAGAAATGTGGCACAGCTGCAGCAATCATTTACATCCACAACACCCCATTTCCCTAAAAGCCTCTCTCGGAACTCTCTCCCATAGCCTTCAAGGAAAGGAAAGAGAATACTTATTACCACATCCATACTTTTAAAGAAACAGTAAACAAGAGGATGGAAATCATCAAATAATTCATGCATCAGATGTGTAAGTACAATGAACGCAGGATGTTCTTCAGCAGATAGAATAGCTGACAAAATGAAGATACCAATACCTGCACTTCCACCGTGGTTAACATCAACGAGTGCCCATCCTCGGCTCGTCCAGTACTGCACACTAAGATCCAGAACCCCGCGTGCTTCATCTGTAGGTCCACCTAAATAATTGCAGTAGTGTCAAGCGAAGTTCCCAGTACTGCTGTTATGATACTTGGCCAATCGTTTGGAGCAACTATTCATTTCACTAGCCTTAGAAATTTCATAAGTTGGTGAATACAGTTAGGACTACTGTATTCTCTTTTATCATCATAAGAGCACAAACAGTGTAAACAGAAAGCCAGCAGATCAGCAATTATTCATCTTTAGAAAACAATATATTTTCTGATAATTGACAATGAACATCAGATATTGACAACAATGAAAAACACATAACCGATGAGAACTGGGAAAACATGTTTTGCAGAAGCCAGCTAGTATGATTTTTCTTTTCAGAGAGTACATGTACTATACTTTTGGTACCATCAAGAATAAGATAAAATAAAGACTTGTTAGATTACCATGGGTTCTGACTAACAATGGAGGCTTTTCATTCGATGAACCTTGGAAAATTAGATTGTGTGGAGGATAAAAGTACGCATAAGAATGTTGGCCAGGGATTACAGTTGGGAACTCCATAAATTCAGGCAAACTAAAGTAGGATGTATATTTCTTAATTTCATCCAAGGAGGACCAAACGATAGAAATGTCAGTTGCCATTGTTCTCTTTTCATCCAGCGTCACCTGGTGCAAAAACATATAATTAAGCAAGGGTGCACGCTCGAGGATATCAGAGTAGCCATTTAGCACAAATAACAAATTCATGAAGGTAGTTCAATGAACCTTTGCTATTGAGACTAGAAGAGTAGCAGATGCACCCTCAACGTAAAAAGATCCATCTCCAGAAACCTAATAAGTCAACATGATCTTATTTATAGCATCCTCATATAGCAAATTTAAGCAATATAATATACTATCAATTAGTTCTTGAGGTAAGTCATCATATTTTGTACTCCTTCCGATCCATAATAAGTGTCGCTCATTTAGTACAAAGTTTGTACTAGCTTAGTACAAAATGAGCGACACTTATTATGGATCAGAGGGAGTACTTACTATGTTAGTTACAGAAGAGAAGGGAAGGTCAAGTTTTGAAAAAGACCCTGAATCATGGTCCAGTAACCCAACATATGATTTCCCATTCTGCCTGGATAAGAAAAAATAGGCTTACTTTTTCTGAATCACATAAAACCATAAGAACATAGACTCAATAAACTTTGATGAACCTGTAGCAGCAAGCTATTTTCTGACTCGAGTCATTGTTTCTTAGAAAAGCATAGGAGCTGACACCAAAGCATATTGGCTTTGAGAATTCAGCATCGATGGAGTACACTTGCACTACAACATTGCTCTGTTCATCCTGTCATAATCGAATGGGAACAATAGAAAGATAAAAGAATATCAAACATTTCCCCAAATAAATTCCAATATGTGCAAAGAACCTAATCTTAGTCACCACACTCCAGAGTCCTAGTTGGAGAGATTTTACAGTAGGTCATCAACGTAATAGTAATACTACTATGGTATCATCAGTCTACCTAATGGGCTTGCTAAACAAACAACAAAGTGATTTACCACAATTGTTCATGTGAATAGATACATATAAATGTAAAATACTATTTGGTGGTGTTGTTATTATTAGTAGTATTATTTTAAATAAGAAATTAGATTGTGAAAAGATAGATGCAAGTAGCAAATATAGAGAGATGGCAGTGGTATTAAGGACATACATCTACTACCGGGCTACTCCATGCTATAACAAAATAGTTTAACAACTTGGGATAAAACGGACAATCTCAAAGAAATAAACAAGTTAGAAACAATCATACCCATTTATGAATATTCCAAAACCCATTCTGTCTGTCAGTTATGAAGAACAGCTCACCTAAAGCAAAAAATAGTCGGACTAGATGAGATTCTGAAATATAATTTAAATCTTTCGTAGTGAAGTAGTACCAACTGAACAATTTGATGTGCTTGAAAGTAAAATACTTATGTGGAAACATGTAAGGAATAAGTTCGAACATGAAACTAGAGTATGCGAGATGCAAACACCTTTTGAAGACCACTTGGGTTCAGTAGGAGATTCCACAAATTCTGGGTCTTCACCAGCAATGCAAATACGTTTTTGTACATCTCTGCACATAATAGATATTAAAATAAATCTGTAAACCTTAGGAGAAGAAAAAGAAACATTCATGTATACTTGAACCAACGCGCACAACTCAATCATTCATCTTTTGCTTTTCAGAATAAATGATTACCACAAAAAATACCAATCAATTGATCATTTGGTACAATTCAAACACATGAATATCTGATGCTACAGTGATACAGAAAATGTTAAAGGGTTTGTTTGGTTTTGAGCCAATGCCCACCTTACCAAAAACTTGGCAGGCGTGTGACGTTTAGCTCCCAATATTTTGGCTACCCCAGCCCAGCCTGTGGGGTGCAGTTCACGTTTTCGCGAACCGTGTGCAATTTGAGGATGGTCAAATGGTTCGCCAAAATAGTGGTCACGCACTCCCACCACTAGGCCAACAGCCCCTCGACAAGAAAACGAGAGCAATGGGGGAGAAAACCACGCCAATATATTAAGATAGAGGTGTGAAATCCGGCCACAATCCCGCAGCGAAAATACAGCCAAAACAGGGATTCAAACATGGATCAGCAGGGAGAAGCCACCGAAATCAGGTCAGCAGGGGGAGCCAATATTTAAGTACTATCTAAAGAAACAGGCATTTGGTGCGAACAACCTACATGTTTAGAGTGATCTAAAATGTGGCCTAGTGCTGAAGATTTGTAGGTATGAATGACTACATGTTTGGCTTCACTTATAAAGTGGGGCGAAAGCATGCTTCGAGCAAAATGACAACATGTTATCAAAAGATAGACAGTGATAAAGGATCCAACAGCATCCTTCAGTATATAGGCAAAGAAGGATCTAACCACATCCTTTAGTATTACAGCTGCTGGTAAAGTAAGAATCCCTCTTTTACCAAAATAGGGTCAATACATAAGCATGCAAATAACTTGAAACAAACAAAGTGTCCAATAAGAGATTACCCTTCGCCAGAAAAATATCCAACCCACAGTTGGGCTTTATCCCAAGACATGTTTGGATTACTCCATTCAATCCAGGCCATGCGCTTTTCAGTTGGATCGATGCGTGGAAAGGCATAGAAGTCATTCCCCCTGACCAGCACAGTTGGTTCTGAGGCAAAATAAAAATAAAATGAGAACAGTATCTGAATAATCTGGAAGGACCTTAAGCACAACTTGGTGCAACAGGTGTGTAGCACTCGGTTCTTACCATTAACTTCTGCAACATTTGTGCTCACGGCAACAACTGTTGCGATGGGATTTGAGCTCTTGCAGTGATCTGTGGTCAAATCAGATTTATTTATTTTCTTAAAAGAATGCAGAAAGAACTATTGACATGTTATATATGGAGTATAATCACCTTCCATTATGGTGACGTAACGACTGAAGTGAGGATCGAAGACACCGTCTGCAAATCGGACAACTGATCCACCATAATCCGGTGTCAAAGGTAGCGGTGAGTTATCTGAAAGTTGAAACCAACAAGGAAATATTGTGAAATTCCGTTACAGGATACCCTTATTTTTCTAAAAGTTTGGAAAAGCCCTCTGCAACAGCACTCCTCTTAACAACCACGATACAGGCTAAAAAGAAGCACAGCCTTGTTTTTGCAAGTGCAACTCAAGTCGCAGCTCAATAAATAAAAATCAAAGCTAGGTTGGTTCATGTTTCTAGACATGTTACTTTTCACACCATTAAGTATGGAGACACCAACATGCTGTAAACCATGAGCATCCCAATATGACACACAAGTAGTTAAGAACAGAGAATATGATCTGATAAAATTCGGAAGAGAGCAGCACATGTCTATCCTTGATACTATAAGTTATGCTGCTGCAAGCAAAAATTATTATTCGCGAAAACGCAAAAAGCATTGCGTTTCGATGCATTGATAGAAAAAGAAGTTTTGTACAAACCCAAGAGAGGGCAAACACCCCATCAAACAACTCTGTCCAAGAAACTAGCCTAAGGGAGCCGTTGGCGAACACCCAACCACTCAAGACGAGAACACGGACAGCAACTATGACACAAGTTACAATCGACACCACCAAGCTAATCCCGGCCTAGAAGCCAACCACGCAAACACACATGGGACACCACACCCTCCCAAGGCCCCCGAAGGGGGAAGAGAAATTTTGATTCTGCAAAGAATGGCAGAATCAAAACACTCTCACTCTCACTTCAGAGAAGCAATGACGCTGCGGACCGCTGGGCTCGCCTCAGAACCGCCAACCGCCACGGTGTCCTGATGTTGCACCACCACACGCCACGACACCCCTTGCCAGTCGCAGCGAACATCGTCGGACGTCAACGAGTATGCGTCGAGTGCCTCCGTGCGTCCAAGACTCCGCAACATTGGTAACCATGCTGGTATAGTGACGCTCATAGGATTTGCCAAAGAGCCAAGGCGGTTGCTGACAAGTCGCCTTCCAACCGACGGTAAGAACTCCAAGAACAACGCCTCCAAGGGGGTAATGACATCAGCTCAAGAAAGCTGGATCTAGGTTTTCACCGGGAGTTGTAAGCCACAAGGATGAAGGTAAATCGAGACTCCTCGACAACGCCAGCAAGGAGGAAACGACTTTGCAAGCAAAAATTATGTGAAATCCCAAATGTTGCATGCGGAAGTAATGCGCCTACTCATGATTAGTACGTATATGCCACACAAGCAAGCAAACAAAAGCTAATTGCAGGCTTCCTGCAGTATGTGTACCTCCTATGGTTTGCCTGTACAAGCGCTGGTCGGTGTAGTTGGAGAAGACCACGACATCCCCTTGCACAGCGAACGCGCCGCCGTAGCCGTACATCTGCGCCAGGGACCCCACGGCGAACTCCTGCGGCGTCACATCCAAGTTTCCGCCGTCTGCGCTGGCCCCTTCCTTCACGAGAACCTCGCGCCTGGAGAAGAGGGGAAGTAAACCTCGGAGTCGGAGGACGTGGGTGCTAGCTAGCTAAGGTTTGGGGGTGCGCGTACCCTCCTTCCTCGGGACGCGTCTCGACCCAGAGGACCCGGCCGTCGCCGGCGACGGCGAGCCCGTGGACTTCCTTCTCGGCGGCGAAGACGGCGTCGGCACTGATCGGCGACTCCCAGGACCCGTACGGCGCGGCCGCCTTCTCCACACCAGTGGCTTGCGGGTCCATCGTGTGCTGTATTCGGCGAGCGGCGGGGCAGTGTAAGCGTGGAGAACCAGTGGTACCAATCGGCCAAGCGTGGAGAATAAGGGCCTCGTCCCGGTGACGATAAAAGGAGTCGATGCCCACAGATCATACAGTACCGCGTCTTTAAGCCTGACAATAAAATGTAGACATTAGGCCGGCTCACACCGTCTCGTATTTTATCTCATGGGATAGTACGGCCCGAGCGAAAACACACCTCCCTCTGATGAATAGAAGACAAACAAAATACACGTGTCGGAGGAAGCTCCAAAACTACAAACACACGTGCAGTCCACGTAGAATGACCACGAGGCCCGGGGCCTCCGCCGCTCCCTGCGGACTAGCTACGTCGGACCGAGCGGCGCGACCGGTGCCGGTGCCGTCGGTGCAAAGGGATGGGACGCCAGCGCCGCACCAGAAGATGTGGTGGCACATGCGGAACCTGGCGGCGGTGATCCGGTACGACCGTGACTACTACAAGGAGACATTCTGGGCGGCGTTCTTCGCCTAGGACTACAACGCGCACCGCCGCGCCAGCTTCTTCGGTCCGTGGGACCATGACGACCTCCGGGAGCTCTCCGCCAATGACGAGGTCGACGACAACGGCCCCCATGTACACCGACGAGCAGGGGGAGTCTGCCGCCGCCGTCCCTTATGATGACGACCCGAAAATATTCGACCAGGCGAATGCCAAGTCGGTCGACCACAAGGACGTGATGTGGTCGGGCTACCACGAGCTCCTGCGGCTGTCCGCGGAAAAGGCGGAGCACGATGTCCTCTGCCGCCTCAGGCCCCATCTATGGCATGATGGTGGTCGACACGATAGTGTACGCGGCGCCGCCACCTCAGGGCCCCTTCTACCACCAGTAGGAGGCGATGCCGCCGCAGGCCGCTGATCTATCATGGGCGCCGCCCTCCTTCATCAACTTTACCTCGGACCGATGGCGCTGGCAGGGTAGGGTTTAAGTTTTTTTTAATGAATTTTGTAAATTTTTTTAAATTATATACGAAGTATCCTAAATTTTGCGCTCTTTTATTTAGTTACAAATTTTGGTGTTTTATGTTGGCAACGGGCCGCAGGCGGACACAATGGGTCGTGCCGCTGGGCAGTAGCCTGGCAGGCCGGACAGCGACCCAAAATCTGTTTGCGGGCCGATTCATCCAGACAGAAGCGGACCGGACGAGGGCGCCGAAATGGGTCGGTGCCGCTGGAAGATGGTCCTTATTGCCTTGCTGACATGGTGCAGATATTCATGTGCATGTTGTACCTTCCTTATCGTTGATTTTAATGAGTTGTTCCCACGCGCTCCACGAGGAGGATAGAACCACGTAAATCTGGCCATGAAGTTGATTTTTAAGCATGCCAGGCACCAAGACCCGGGTTAGCTACTCGAGATAGAAGCTAAGGTAGATGTGGCCATTTGTATCATCCAAAGGTGTAACCAAGTTAAAAAATCAATGGTAAGTCTAGTTTTGACTTAAAATGTAGATATGCATCTTTTGAAGAAATAGTATTTTATATTGTTTGCAATGATTACCTGCAAGAAGAAGAATTACTGATTATTTTATATGCCATCGTTCAACTTAGATATACTTTACTCCAATTTGGTAGCTGATGTCTTCTCTAAAATGCTTCATAAAGCTGTCAATAGTGGTTTAATCTGTGGACTGCTACCTCATGCCTTCCCAGGTGGGGTGGTCAGTCTACAGTATGCTGATGATATCATTCTATCTTGGATAACTCACTGGAGTATGCCAAGAACTTGAAATGGATTTTATCTTGTTTTGAAAATCTATCTGGCTTGAAGCTTAATTTCCATAAAAGTGATCTTCATGCTATTAATATCTCTGAGCAATTATATAAGGATTTTGCGCAGGTTTTCTGCTGCCAGCTTGGGGATTTCCCCTTTAAATATTTAGGTGTCCTCCTTCACTTTAAAAAACTTAGAAGGGAAGACCTCCAACCCATTATTGATAGAATTACCAAAAACATCTCTGGATGGTTAGGGAGATTTCTCTCATATAGAGGGAAACTGATATTGCTTACTACTTGCATTGCCAGCATTCCTGCTTACCTAATGTCTATTATGAAATTTCCCAAATGGGCTATTGATATGATCACCTCACAAATGTCTCACTTCTTCTGGGGAAATGTGAGTGATAATCATAAATATCACCTTGCTAACTGGGGAAAGAGTTTGGGGGTATGGGGGTTCCCAACCTTAGAGAATTCAACATGGCCCTTTTGGCCTCTTGGGGTAAAAGATTCTATTATGACAGGGATAGTGATTGGAAGAAGATGCTGACCTACAAGTACAACACTACTAGCCCTAATCTTTTTAACACTAGGGTGACCCTAGGATCTCCATTTATGAAAAGTTTATCATGGGCTCTTGCAGCCTCTAAAAACTTCTATAGATGGATCCCTGGGGATGGTAAAAGTATTGCCTTCTGGCATGGCATCTGGATTGGGGATTGCTCCCTTAAAACTGCATTTTGGGACTTGTTTACTATTTGTAAACAGCAAGATTCTACCCTTGCGCAGGTTTGGGTGGGTGGCGAATTACGCTTAACTTTTAGGAGGTGTGTTGTGGAAGGTACCTTAGTTAGATGGAAGGAGCTCATCAAGATTGTTGAGCCAGTGTGTCTATCTGGTTCCCCAGACCAGCCTGTCTGGATGCTAGATTCTTCTAGCAAGTACTCTGTCAAATCCTTTTATAAGTTAATTAACTTTGGAGGGATATTATCTGTAATTAAAGATGATATCTGGAAAATCAGAGTTCCACCCAATATCCAAGTTTTCCTCTGGTTGATCTACTATAATAGGAGCTTAACTAGAGATAATCTTGCCAAGCGCAGGCATGTAGATGACATGTCTTGTGTCTTCTGCAGTGAGCCTGAAACAACCCAGCATTTATTATTTGATTGCATTGTTGCTAGACATGTTTGGGATCTGGTAGCTGATAGCTTTAATGTTATTGCACCTGATTCCTTTGTTCTGCTGGCTTCCTTCTAGAAGAGGAGAAAATATTTTGAAGCTTTAAACATTGTTACTGCTGCTACCTTCTGGAGCTTATGGCGTTTCCGTAATGACTTTGTTTTCCAGGGGGAGGGCGGGGGGAGGGGAGATGGCGAAGTATACGATGTGTTTTGGACCTGTTGGGGGCAATGATCAGACAACGGAAAATCCTATGTTCAGAGGCTCAGGGTGCGCTTCTTCTCCGGTGCTTAAGGTTGTTGGACCACCGAAGAGGGGAATTGCTTAGGACTGCATGGCGCTAATGCAGTTGTCAGGGGCATTGCTGGGTTGTGTTCTGCTAGCTTGCATATCTTAGCTTTGATCTTGAAAAGTAAGCTGGCATGTTGCCACCAGGTTATGTATCCTGTCTAGACCCGCCTAAGAACTTGTAATAGGGCATTTAGACCTTGCTTTCTATCTGTCCCTTTTGGTCAAAAAAAATACTTTACTCCATCCGGTACAGTTGAACAGGCATGCACGTAATTTAAAAAAAGATCTTGACATTTAATTATGTAAACCAAATAGGAATCATATGTCACAAAAATTATATCATTTCATATTCAAAAGTATTTTTTGATGGTATATTTTGCATATTTTGTTGACTAAATTACCGTCAAAGTTATATCTTTTTTTGTGTTTGCGCCTGTTAAACTGTACCGAAAGGATTAGATGATACAATGGGCCACCGATGCTTTCTTTTTGTGCGAGTGAATGAGTAATTCAGGCATTAGCCCTTTGAGGACAGCGGTGAGGTCACATGTACATATCTATTAGTTTACCCACAGTGGGAGTAATATGGGTAGTAACATCACACATATCTAGATTAAATAGATGATGTGTCATGCAATAAATGAAGAAAGAGATGAAAGTGGTAATATAGCTAGCTACTACTAGTATGAGTAACATCACACATATCAAGGCAAGATGTGTCTATAGCCTAATAAATGAAATGTTTCATGTTACCACACATATGTTACTCCCCACTATAGAGGTAGTAATATAGACTAGTAACATGGGCATGTTACTAGTCTATGTTGCTACCCATTGTGGCTAGTCCGTCTAGTTGACATGCTGTAGATATCCATGTGCCTGTGGTGGACCTTCCTTGGTCGTTGATTTTAATGATAAGGTTGAATGAGTTGTTACCACGCGCTTCACGAGGAGGCTAGAACCATATTAGAGCACCTCCACCGGTAGCCCCCAAAACTTGACCGGTAACCACGCCGGCAACGAGGTTGGGCGCCAACGCCCAAATCCCC